TAGGGGTATTGCATATGCAGATTATTCCACACTTCCTCAACCCAGTTTAAAGACTCAGAATTGCTGGTTTGAGTCTTGAAATTTGCATGTAGGTGAAAGAAGCCATGTGAGCACATGCAGATGGTGGTACCCCATGGACAGTCTATTTCCTGCTTAGCTGTGTGGGTTGGCAGAGCCACCACAAGCCAGACCCTGGCTTTTAGTAGTGTTGCTGTGGACACAGTGTAGAAGATGGTCCCAAGGATGTGTGGGATAGATGTGTCCTAGCAGGAGACAGTAGTCCTAAGTGAAGATTCTCCAATGAGATGGGGTGGCTGTGGAAGATAGCAGAGCAGCCTACAGCCATCAGGACCCACTGAGAATAAAGTGACCTACTGGCATGAAGTGACAGGAACTCAGAGTTTATCTGCTTGCCAGGTGACCTACTGGGGAAGGAGTGGCATGTGCCTGTCCTTCCCAGATTTTCCATAGAAGAGGACAGCACCAGTGGTGCAGCCCCTCAGGACAAGGAGGACCTGGCCGCAGTCCTCCTGTGCAGTACTGTTAGCTAATGGTGCTGACGGGGAGCACAGACCTGGAGTTCTGGCTCAGGACAGAAGCCTCAAGCTACAATCAGGAGGCTGAGCAGTGTACTGAAGCAAGGTATGCATCCCACAAACACTTGAGAAATGAGGAAGCAAGACAGCAGAGAAACAGAGTCATGATCACTCTCAGTACTGAGGCCAGAAATCATGGTGACTGCATCTGGTTGTCAGTGAGGGAGGTGGCTGGAGTCTCTGGACAAGCCCAATGCTTCTTCCAAATGATGTTCAGTTAGGGCCGGCTCTGCCCTCTTTCTTCAGCTGGCTGATCTTGCTGCTGTGTTTTATCTTGGGCTCTCTGTTGCTAGACTTTCACATCTGCCTCTTCAACCTCAGGCCTTCAAACTCATCCTTAACAAGAAGGGCTGCAGTGATATATAGGACTACTGTCTCCTGCTAGGACACATCTATCCCCACACATCCTCGGGACCACCTCTCAGCAAGAGGGAACAGCAGCTCTCATTTTTGCAGCCTGTGCTAGGAAGTTGGAAAGTTTTTCTGTACTTTTGAACTTGAACCAACCTTTCTTTTCTTTCTTTCTTCTGTTGATAATAATATCAGTCAGGTGACAAGTAAACTTGCCTGTGTAATTCCCATCTTGCGTCACATTCTTCCTCCAAGACAATTTCTGTCTTTCTTCTTTTCCACTGTTACTTTGAGAGGAATCAAATATAACATCAACTTTGTGACATCTCTTCACCAACACCTTAAGTAGATACAAATTGGTATTGAAATGTTGCTAGACTGATTCTGTTGCATGTTGAAGTAAATTCTTTTGGAAAGATGTAAGGCTGATGTTAGAAAGTGTCATTTACATTGGCATCACACAGACCAGGAAGTTGGGTTGCTCATGGGTCTCCCTGAGCTGCCTAGACTTGAGCAAACCATGTCCCCATCTGTGCCCTGATCTCCACCCCTAGGTGGGGGTTAGGAGGACCGAGAGCTTGTGAAGACAAGCAGGATGGGTACACCTGGCTCAGGGGCTCCAGGGAGGAGTGGGACGTGTGCACCTGGCTCATAAACAATAGTAGCTTCTTTCCTCATCTTTAGCACCATAATTATTTACTCTGGTTTTGTACCAGCCACGGGTATTTCCCCAGGCCTGTGGCAGGCAGCCTTCTAACCTGGTCGGCTTGTCAACAAATACATGAATCTGAAATTTTGAACTAGAACAATGCTGAGCTGCCATGGAAAGTGGCTTTAAGTCCTTTCCTTTGTCCTGAGCCTGCTTTTACTGACAGTTGCAGAGCCCTGGAGTTTTCCATTTGGAGACCCTCCATTCTTGGGTGCCATGACAGAGTTGGGTAAGGGGCAGGTGGTTGTTGGACTGCATCCCCCCCAAACCTGCTGCTGCAGAGCCTTCCCTCTTGCTTGTGTGCTTCTTGAGCATCTGCAGCAGGCTCCTCCCCTGGGCTCACACCTGCCCAGGTGTGGGCAGACAGAGGTAGGGCCAATCCAGGGCAGGAAGGTGAATCCTATGCAGTGGGGGAGCACCCTTGGGTTCATGAGTCCACTGCCCCGGCAAATCACAGACCTCCCCGCCCTTCTCCTCTGCAAAACTATCAAGTGGAGAATCATAAGGAGTGTGGCTCTGAACTTGGCACCAAGTAAAATGTTCATCCAAGAAAAGCTTCCTAGTTGCCTCTGAGGTCCAGCTCAACCAGCCTGGCAATTGATGGCCCAGCTGACATATGCTGCTCTAGGGAGCCCAATGTAAGGGAAGAAGGGGGCAAGGACACCTGGAAGACCTGGCCCAGGACTGTGCCACACACATGGAGGGGGACAGAAGCAGAGCACTTCCCAGAGCTCATCCCAAGGGAGCTGGGCAGGGACAGCTGGGATAGGACAGGGCCAGGAGTTTTCCAGCCTCAATGAAAAGTGAGACACTGCTGCAGCATTAGAGTGACGTGGGACAATAGGTCAGGAGTCTAGGAAGATAATGCGGCGTAGAGAGTGGATCTGAGGAGAAGCCGTGCCATCTAGTCCAGCAGGATGTCCATTGGGATGCTCCAGCGAGGGCAGATGGAGGCCTCTGGGAAGAGGACACGGATGCTGTCCAGGCCAGTCCAGCTGGGATGTCAGTCAGAATATTCCAACAAGGGCGGTGCAGGCCTCCAGGAAGAGGAAGCTGGTGGACAGCTGTTCCACAGTTAATAGGAGCATCTGCTGTGTTCACTGTCGAAGCTGCTGAGGGTGTGGTAGTGAGCACAGCCCCCACCTTACATGGTCATGTAACAGATGGATATATAAACGAACCAGGCCAATGGAACACCTTCCACTCTCACCTTAAGACACAGTTGATGCCCACCACCCTAGTCCCGCCTTGGTGATGAGAGGTCAAGGGTACTTGAGCAAGTGTTCTCAGGCCCCTTCCCCAGTGTCCAGAACCCCCCTGGGCATGTCCCTGAGTGAATTACTCCATGCCTGAGTCCCCAAAGCCAATTTCTCTCATCTGTCCCAGTAGTCCCTCCTAGGTATCCACCCTACTCAACTGATGGTGCTGCGGGAAAGAGACTGAGTCCAAGCTCAAAGCCAGGGTCACAACTCAAACACCCACAGGTGAGGCATCATTATCAGTTCTGTGTTTCTCAAATGGTGCCCCCTGCTGGCAGGTGAACTCTGCAGCCAGAGCACCAGCTCTGAGAACACCCGCCTCATTGTTGCTGCTCTGTGGCTGAATGACAACGATTGTCCTCCTGGTCTTTGCCGACTGGTGTGCTGTGAGGGTCGCAGTGGCAGAAGGGCAGCTGGGCCCTACCAGATCTCTTCTGTTGCTGTGGGACTTGACCTGCAGTGGTACTGACTTTGATGTTGACCCGGGGAGAGCTGTGTGCAGGCCCCGGTTCCTTCAATGCCTATCTCCAGCTTGTACCCTTGAACATAGGCCAGACAGATTTCTAGAGTCCTGGCCATGGAGAGCCAGAGTGGGCTCAGCCTAAGGGACCTTGGCCAGATCCTTGTGGTACCCCGAAAATGCACACCATGGGATTGTTACATGAAAGTCCCTATTTTAAAATCTGGTCTGCTCAGTCTGTCCTTTGACCATACAGTTTTTAATTATCTGTGAACCACGTTCCTCCTTTATCTTCCTTAAGGATGCCCTGCAAAAAAACCCACTTCTGGAATCTTTTCTTCCCTTTTCATTCCCCATCCTAGGCCCTTGAGTCCCTCATTATAGCCAAGAGGAGTGAATTAAAACAGGGTCAGAATTTTCTTGCATTTATGGAAAAGTTATATACAAAATTGAGTTTCTGTATCCAAGAATTTTCTGTAAGGAAGGATTTTGGGTCGGAGATTATAGAGTCACTGTAAGTGGGATACACTGTAAGTGTAAATATTTCTTCAAGGAGAAAAGTTTCAGAATTCCAGTCAACTTACAAACACATGTTCTGGAACACAAACATTTATCTCTGAGTAAAAGAGGGTAAGTACCTGCAGGTGAGTTACATGTCTATTCCATTACACAAATGAATACTCAGTATAGTTTTCCTAGGAATTGTCAGATACTTATTTTGTTTCTGGATCAAGTGATGAAAATTATGCAAAGTAAAAAAAAAGCCAGTATATTCTGTGTGGTGGTCATTTTCCATCACTTTTATGATAAGCAATTTTGTAAATATTTTGGCACTGTATGGTTTCAGGTTACTTGTTAAATACTAGTCTTTCAAAAAAATTGCTTTTTAAACATTGGGATATTTTCTTCTAAAAGAAGCTATCTATGCAATCAATAGTAAATCCATGTTTGTACATATTTGTAATTTTGAAAATTTCTTTACCCACAGTATCCTTATCAGTTTTTTATTTCTAATTACATGTTAAAAAGCCCCTCCAGAAGGCTGAGGATAAAAGGTTTCGATGAGATAATGAATATAAGGAACTTGGTACAGTGCCTGACACCTGATAATCTACAGCACACCTGCAGTTGTTATCACCACAATCAGTAACATTGTTGTTCTAAGCCTGATTGACAGTGGCAGAAACCAAGCCTTAAGGACTATAGGTCACAGTTAGAAAAACTAGAAAAGCTTTAGAGACTAAGACTTTCTGAAATGTAGTTCTATTGACCTGAAGTCCACAGCCTTTCATTTACACCCATTTAAAAAAAAAAAAAAAAGACCTTTTGTTCTTAGAAAACTTTTTTTGTACTATGAGCAATGTGCACATTAGCTATTTAATTTTTTTTCAGTACTGGATGAGGTTTCATTTTACAGATGAAGAAACTGGAGATTAAAAGGGGTTAAGTTGCTCACCAAGATCCCCTGGCAAGTACGTACGTAGCAAAGCCAGAAAGTGCTCCTAGGCTGGGGTCCCAGGCCTCTGACCTCCCTCCAGAGTACACTGTATCTACTGGTTCCTGCAGGCAGCAAGCATTGTCTTTTTAAGTGATAGGAGGCATTGAGGGAGGTTTGTGTCACTTCCTCCTAGAGAAAATATTTATTCTTGGTTTCATACAAATTGCCAGCCAGAGTAGGAAAAAGTCATCTTGAAAAGAAATTTTCCATAAAATGAAGAAAGGTTCCTTTCCACATGTGGAGGTGACCTTTCTGGTGCTATGCCCTGGGTGGGATGCATGGGCTGCAGGGCTGCAGGGCCGTGGGACGTGGAAAGTGATCCTTGCCTCTTGTAAATGGCAGGTCCTGTGAGAACTGGTTTGCACCATGGGTGGCAGAGAGGATGTCCTGTCCACAGTAGATCCAGCCAAGTCTCCCTTCAGATTAGGCTCAGTCGTGGGTGACAGAAAACCCAAATATCAGTGTTTCCTGCAGAGTAGAGTTTCGCTTCGTGTGCCAATGGAGATCGGAATCCAAGGCAGTTTCAAGATGACTGAAGCCCTGTTGGTTTCCCTGCTAGACCTCGCACACAGCACTCTCCCCCAGGGCCCAAGCTGGTTACTAGAACACCTACTGCCTTGCTTCAGTCCAGCCTGGTGGGAAAGAGGAAAGGAAGAGGAAGTGTATGTCCCTTTCTTTCTTGAACACTTTGCAAACGTCACATGTGACCATCCACTTAGGTCCATCTGGCTGGAATTTAGTCCCATGGTTGTGACATCCCCTCCAAGCTGGTTCCAGAAGAGGCTGGAAACTGGTTCTCATCCCAGGCTCACAAGTGCCACCTAAAAGGGGTGCATGTGTGTTGGGGTTGGGGGGTTGAGAGACTAGTGAAGTTTGCCATAGAAAAAAATGGAAAGAAATGAATTGCACAATGTAGAAAGATTGCCTCCCCTGCCTCTGTGTGGGCGCCCTGTAGCCTTTGCCGTGGACAGGAGTCCTGAATCCTGTGGGGTGTGGGTCCCAAACTTTTCCTCCAAGCACCTGCTTTTGAGTGAATGACAAAACTCCTTAGGAATCTATGTCCTTAACAAGAAAAGCAAAGATGCCTGCAGCCCTTATTCTTTCAGTAGCTCCTTTCCACATAGCTTTACTGCCAATGAGAACTTCCTGAGGGATTAGATCACTGATGAGTCACTTAGCTCAGCCTGTAGCTACCTGGGAAGCTTGCACTTCCTCTCAAAGCCTGAGCTCCCCCTGTGGGTAAGACCACACACGTTTTCAGCACAGACCCTGGGAATATTGAGGAAGCCAGCAGTTTCTTGCTTTCTTCCACCATATCACGTGTTATTACACTTGAACTTGAGAGCGACTGTCCTACAGATGCTGAAGCTCATGATGCAGCCACATGACCAGCAGGTCCCTCCTCTTTACCAGGGCAGCCTCACGTTCCACTGGTGCAGGGAAGTGCCAGGACCCTCTCCAAGGTTCTCTTTGTATGATAACCAGGGCAGGTAATTGGGGGTCTGCTTGTCCTGGCCCTGGAGTTTCATGTCATCCCTTGGTATCCTTGGGGGACTGACCAGGACTCCCTGTGGATACAGAGATCCTGGGATGCTGGAGTCCCTTGTGTAAAAGGATTTAGAATTTACATTTTCCCTCTGTAATCCTCCTCTATAGTTTAGATCACCTCTTGAGAGATTATAATACCTAACTCAGTACAAATGCTTTGAAAATAGTTGTCATACCGTTTTATGTAGGGAGTAGTGACAAGAAAAAGTTGCATATGTTCTGTTCAGAAGCAAGTTTTTATAAAACGTTTTGCCCTGTGGTCGCTTGAGTCTGTGGGTGCAGAGCCCACTGGTTTGGGTTGGGGCTCCCTTAACCTTCTCAGTGGTTCTTTGCTGACTTACAAATAAACCCAATTTCTAATGAAGCAAAGGAACCGCTCCCTACTTTAGAGTTGTGGGGGCTGGAGGACTACTTAGGGCTGGGCAGTGAGGGAACTGGGTGGTCTGCAGCTGGGGCTAGGCACCTCTTCTTTCAGCGTGAAGGGCTTTTCAAAGGCTCTGGCCTACAGCTTCCTGGTTCTTGCTGCGTAGGGGAATTCAGTGTTGATCAACACATTTCCAAAAAGTACTTCTTCATTACTAAGGACGTGGGAGGGAAGTAGAGCTGATTCCTAAGAAAGGGCTTCACAACCCCTCTCCATGTCTCTGCACCCCCTCTTCCTTCCCATCAAGAGCTCCAAATCCGTGCACCTTGTGGTCATTTGCTGAGATCTTTGGCAGAGGGGGAGCAGGAGGCTTCCTCAGCACTGGCTTCTTAGCTCACTTGCCCCTCACTCCCCCAGGCTTGCTTGTCCTCTAGGGTGTCACTTCAGAGGCCTTTGACACGCAGGAGAAACCCAAGTGCTTGGCTTCTTAGCCAGGAGGCTGTTGAATTATGCAGGTAGGAAGTCTGGATGAAAAAGGCTTTGGTGCCCTGGGTTCCAGCATCAGCCCAAAGGGTGTTTGGCTTTGACAGGATGGTTTGCTTTGTGGACTCAGCAGGACCGCTCAGGAACCTCCTTGTTATTATTCTTTTGCTCCGTTCCCTGTGGGCAGCTTTATTGTGTAGCTGCGCCCATCACACATCTGGCAGTTACCTGATAACTCTCTCTGCATCTCCAGGGCTTTGAGTTTCTTCATTCCTATTTTCGGGGTGAAAGAGAGGGAGAAATAGTCACTTCCAGGGGCCCTCTCAGAAAAGTCCATCATCCTTAGCAAATTTCTCCATCTCGTTTGCCTAAACCGGGTCACATGCTTATCCTTAGGCAGGGATGGGGTGCTGCAGATGAACTTAGGCTGCTCCGCAAGCCCAGCACCGACTGCTTCCCCAGTCTGGGCTCTGCGGCAGATACCCAGGTGGAAGTCAAGGATTTGTACTTAGGAGTGGGAATGGGGTTAGGACAGCAACCACAGTGCCTCCCTTGAGAGCCAGCACCCCAGCGCCTGGCCAGGCTTCACTGGACTTCTGGAGGGCTGCTGACCCCTAGTGGCCCAAGTGAGGCATTGGATAGTAAACTCCAGGCTTCCCTCCTCTGTGGGAATCCCAGCAGCCTGCCACCACACACAGGTGGTTGTGAGCAGAACAAAGCCTCCAGAAGCACTTCATGACTACATGAGTTTAAGTGGAAGCCTTCCAAAGCCGAGGACAGCCCTCTTCTGACCTTGTAGAGACGAATCCTATGCATGTGTGCTGTGACTCTTGTCACCTGTAGTTATCCTGAGTTTGTCTGCTCCCCAGGTGCAGGATGAGCCTCCTGAGGGTGGCACTGGGTGGGAAACACTCAGGTCCTCACTGGAGCACCCCTGCCTAGTGAGGGCTGCTGCCCAGTGCTCCCAACCCCCTGCAGGCACTGCCTTTGCATGCAGATGAGATCTGTCTGCCTAATTGTACTCGAGAAAGAAACTGCCATCAGTGATGTGTTGAGGCTTTCACACAAATGTGAACGTGCTCCAGCTACCCTGCTGCACAGCATTCAGCTGCCTTTGTGCTGTGGGTTGGCAAGGTGTGGCCACATCATAGAGGGCTCCCTCTGTGCAGGACTCACTGTACCATGTCACCGCAGTGAGCTGTGGGCAGAGCTGAGTTGGATGGGGCCCTTCTATGACCTGGGTGACACTGGGTGACACTCTGTGGGAACTGGGTGACACTCTGTGGTTTGGGTTATGGGTCAAGAGGAAGGCAGGAGCGTGGAAATTATAATATAGAATGACTCAAGAAGAGAAAGAGTTGTTTTGCTTTCAGCTGACTTCTAGTTCATGTGTGAAATGAGGCAGTTCTGAGGCTCAGAGAGATTTAGCAAAAGCCCAGGATTAGAAGTCAGCTGCCATTAGCTGTGGAGGGCACCGAAGGACAGGATTTCTCAATCTGAGGGTGAGGGAGGGTTCTGGGAGACAGGGTAGCCACACTGTCACTGTACAAGATCCGGCAGCTACTCTGTTTTGGCAGTGAGGGCTGAGCTGTGTGCTGCCCAGAAGGACAGCCCCTGCGGAATGGACCCCACTGCCCTCCTCTTCCCTTTCCACAGGGGAGAAGACAGCAGGCAAGAAAGTTCCACAGTGATCACATGGGACATGGGATGGGAAGAAATTTAAATCCCTGACACAGATGACCGAAGAGCCGGACTGTGACATCGCACCTCAAGCACTGTGTCCTTCAACAGCCTGCGTGTACCTTAATTAGGCAACTAAGTGCAGTTATCATCGGGATGACCATTGATACACTTTTGATTTTGCGTAGACAGTAAAGATAAATGCTGAATATTTTCCACCTTTTAGTTGACATATTTCACATCTTGCTTTGGAGTCCTCCTTTGAGAGACATAGCTTTCTTGCAGAAATATCAACCTGGTAGTGCTGGGAAACCACAGCTGGACAGCTGTTTAATTCTGGCAAGGAAAAGAACCAGGGCTTCTCTTGGCTGCAGGCATGAGTCTGTGAGTTGGGACTGGGCTGGTGCAGGCAAGGGCTCTGCACCTGCTGCCTCACTAAGTGCTCCCCACAACCAGTGGGCAGTACCACTCCCTGTGGACTGTAAGGCAAGGCTAAGCTAAATTATAGCATTTGCCCAAGGCATAGTTATCAAAGGGTGTGGCAGGTTTGCAATCCAGATCTCTCTAGCTCAAGAGCCCCGTTCTTCCCCTGACCTCCATGTCCCAGTCTCAAGGTTTTGTCTTAGAAATGAAAATATGAATTACAGTGAACATTTGTCCTGTTTGTTCCCAGACAGCTTCTCCAGAGCCCTTAGGTTTTCACCAAGAACCTGATTGTTCTCATCTTCGCTGTGATGAGACCATTACTAATGAGCACATTCTGGCTGATCACCTCACAACCATGTGCTGCTGGATCACCATGCGGTGCTGGTCCTGTTTGTGTTCAGGCTGATACTGAGAAGTCGTTTCTAATCCCAGAGACTGGGCTACTCTGCTTTCCCCTGCTCCTTGACTGCAGGCAGCAGTGGGCTATGTTTCCCAGATACCCTTGCAGGCAAGAGAGGTCATGTGAACTGTTACTGCCCATTGTATGAAGTAGCGAGTGTTGGGGATGGGGCAGGGGCTTCCAAGCATCTCCCCAGGAGTGGCTGACCTAGCAGCCCCCCCCTCTGTTTTATTCCACCTGGGGGATGCTGCAGTACCAGGTCAACCTGTGAGGTAGGTGGAGCAAACTCTGATTCAATCTCCCTGCTCCAAATTCCATTAGCTGTATAGTCTTCAAGCAGAGGACCTACCAGGTATTAAACTAAGAGCAGGTACACACCTGGCCATGGAGCAGTGGCCAACGTCTCCTCACAATGTCTCCTCACTGTATTTCTTCTCTTCCAGGCTGGAAGGAGGTACAGAAGTAACCATGGGTTCAAGGACATGTGCTAGGTTGGCTGAGGCAAAGATGGAAAGTCTAGGTGTCTGCTGACTTCAACCCACTCATTATGTGGGGAAAGGAAGCTCTGTAATATTTTAAACAAGTTTATTGAGATAGAGTTACAGACCATAAAATTTACCTGTTTGAATGGTGCAACTCAGTGATTTTTCAGTAAATACACAAGATTATGCAAACATGACAATCCAAATTTAGAGGCTCTCTATCACGCCCAGATGGCCCTCCTGCCCTTTGGTGGTCAGTTGTCTTCCACTGGTCTGCCCTCTGTCTCTACAGATATTCATTTTCTGGGCATGAAGTGGAATTATCATATGTCATCTTGCACAGGGCTTCTTTTGCTTACCCAGGTACTCTAGACGTTCCTGCATACTGTGTTCGTTCCAGTAAGGGGTTTCGGCCTACGGCTGAGTAATATTTCCCATCTGGCTCCACCACATCAGGTTCACCACCCAGTCGATGGGCACATGGGTTGCTCCCACTCTCAGACTTGGCACACAATGCAATCATACATTTTCATTTCTTTCAGGAAGGAATCACAGGGTCCTGTGATGGATTTCTCTCTCATTTCCTGACACCTCCAAACTGCTCAGCAGTGGCTGCACAGTCTTGCATCCCCGCCAGCAGGACAGAGGCTCCTGTTTTTCCGTATCCTCGCCAGTGGTGATTTGTCCTTCTGATCCCACCGTCCCAGTGGGCCTGAGGTGGCATTTCACTGTGGTTTCAATATTAGCCTCCCTGTAACTAAGGATGAGGAGCATCTTTTCTGGGGCTTATTGCCCACTCAGATTTCTTCTTTGGTGCAGTGTCTCTTCGACTTGCCATTTTAACTGGACCGTCCATCTTCCTCTGAGTGGTCTTCAGTCCTGGTGCATGCTGTCCTCCAGAGGCTGCACTCCTGGGCACGTCCTCCAGACCCTACCTGCTTCTTATTATCTTTTTTTGGTCTTTTTTTGGGGGAGGGAACTGGAGGGGGGGTCAAACCCAGGACTTTGCGAATGCAAGGCAAACGCTTTACCACTGAGCTATATCCCAGTCCACTTCTTATTTTCTTATCCATGTTTTCTGAGGCACATTTTGATGAAGTCCGTTTTCTCAGCTTTTTCTTTCAGGGATCATGCCTCTTGTCTGATCCAAGGTTGCAGGCATCTTCTGCTTGTTCTTCTTAAAAGTTTTATGGTGCTAACCTTTGTATTGGGTGCGTGGCCCATTTTGAGAGTATGTTTACGTGGCAAGGTTCCGAAATCCCCCTTTGCATGTGTGTGCACAGCTGTTCCAGCCCTGTCTACTGAGAGGACTGTCCTGACCCTACAGGCTACCTTGGCACCTTTGCCAAAATTAGTGGACTGTAAAAGTAAAGTCTGCCTCTAGACTCTCAGCTCTGTCCTGTTGACTGACACCTCGACACTCCCTCTGGCCGTATGCTATCCTCATGAAGGTGGCTTTGTAGTGATACATTTTGGGGTTGGGAGGTATAATTTTCCTACCTTAGTTCTTTTTCCAAACAGTTTTGTTTTTTCTGGGTCCTTTATACTTTCATAGACTTTTTAAATCAGTTTGAATTTCTGCCCAAACGCCTGTTGGAATTTTTATAGGAATTGTAATGAATGTATAGGTCACTTTGGAGAAGTGCCCTTAATAATAGTCTTCCAGTCCATCTCTTCAGATCTGCAGTTTCTTTCAGAGACATTGAATAGTTTTCTGTGTGCAAGTGTTGTACTTCCTTTGTTCCCCAATTTTAAAGTCACTATGATAGGGACTTTCAGATACACCCTTGGGACTTTATGAGTTTATTAACTTCCTGCTTCTGAATCTGCCCGAGCTTCTGCTTGCTGTCCCCAGTGGCCTAAAGGGTTCTAGACAGCAAAAATCTGTGGACAAAGGCCTGGAGGGTAGGAAGAATGTTCTGTAGAGGATGGAAAAAAGGAGCCAATGCTGGGGTCTTTGAAGGTCAGGATGGGAGGTCAGCCCTGGTGGACACCCCAGCAAGCCTTAGCCAGCCCTGGGCCCCGTGTGTTGCCATTGAGAACACCCGTGAGGACTGTGATATGCCCTTGGTAAAGTGAGTGTGTCCCGGATGTCAGCCTTGGCCTTTAATGTTTATGGCCCTCTGTATCTGGGGTCCTGCAAATGGGGCCCTGAAGTTGCAAAGAGAGATCTGATTTAGGTCCCCCTTGCCAACTTTAGGATTTTAGAGCTTCATTTGAGGGAAAGCTGTTCTGAACATTGAAGTCATCCTAATATTAGGGACTAGTGTCCTGAGATAAGAGGTCCCTGTGGCCAGAAAGTTCGAGACAGCATTGGGCTCGATAAGTCCAGTGGATTTCTTTACTGGATGCAATTCAAATCATCTTACCTTAGCCCATCCAGAAGATCTCTCCTACTCCTGACACCCCAGGAGCATCTGACAGGACTGTATCCTGATGGAGCTGTGCTGAGCAACTCTGGTCCATTGCATCATAGACATTTAATGAACTTTAAATGGCTGTCATCACCACTGATCAGTGGTCTGCATTGCTCTGACCTTAAAGTAAGAACAGCTCAGAGATAAGCCGAGGTTCTCAATGACTGGTATCAATGCACTTGTGGTTGTGTAATTTACTCAGGTGGCGCTTGGTAGAGCCTTGTGCCTTTTTTGAGAAAAACTCAAACTTTTAGACTTGTGAGAAGCACAGATGTCCCCTGCGCAGCCTGCATCAGGCTGGATGAGGCTGAGGTGTCTTGGACATGGAGTGGCCACTAGGTGAGGTCAGAACAGTAGGTGAAAAAAATGCCCCCAGTTGCCAGCTGAGAACAAAGCAGAGGGTGGAAACAGAGTTGCCCTTTATCCACAGCATTTCCACCTGTGTTTCCAACCACAGGTACATTTAACTGACATAGTTTTTTAGCTTTTGAAGCTTTTGGTGGAAAACAAATTATTTAAACTGCTTCAGTGCTGTGGTCAAAATTAACTCTGAGACTACACTCACACTCCCCGTCCCTGCAGGTCGCAGCAGCCTTCAGGCACGGCCCCTTCATTCCCCGAAGCCTTCCCTCCCTCCCAGTGTAGACACTGCTCTCATCTCCTCCCACCCCATCTCCCTTCTGTTCCACACCCTTTATCCTCCCATCATTCGCCTACCTGTCTAAGTATGTCCCCTTCTCAGACCCCTTAGTGGCTTCCTTAGTTTG